CCTGTCGAAGATGGCGCTACACCTAGGACATAACATTACACTGGACCCTTTCCCCTGGCAACAGTGAAGAAAATCGACAATTGACTCTTCGTGTCCTGGGTAAGCTACTTCATTGAGTTCCTCTTGACAATTTGATTCGCTATCTCCTATGGTTTCATGCTGAGTTATTTCCACCATATTGACATCGACACCTTCGCCCAAATCGAGCTTTACCAAGTCCAACTCTAAACCCTTGGTGGCCTGGTCCATCTTGACGAAGTTATCAGCAGTTTCCTTAGTCACCATTACCAAACTTGGATTCTCCATGTCTTTTTAACCTGGATCATCAATAATTTGGTCGAGGCCATCAGTAGCCACCCTTACACAATTCTCTTGTCCAAAACCCAAATGACCTTTACCATTACAATCCCATCCACGAGATTATCAGTAATCTCTAACATGTTGATCGAAAAATCATAGCCATCAGTAGCTTCGACCATGTTGGTCTCCGTAGGCTCTGTATAATGAGCGCCTGCCACCTGCAGGGAGTCTGTGTCGACCTTCATCTGACTACTGGCTTTCTCCCCAAATTTCAGTCTTCCTTCTTGAATTGCGTTTTGAACCATATCCATGAAAAGAAAACATTGAGACGTTTTATGATCCCAAAATTTATGGTATTTACAAAACCCTCTTTTTTTCCTTTGCTCTAAAGACGATATTTTAGCACCAGGTGACACTATCATTTGCCCATCTTTAACTACAAATCAAAAATTTCATCACATTTTGTGATGTCGAAAGTATATGTTTTCTTTGGGAACCTGTCGTTCTTTTCAGATTCGAAGAAACTTTTCCCCAGTGGAGGAGCCAGTACTTTGCAAGTGTAGGGGGGACCTTGTTTAAGTTCAGCAAAATCTACCTCACTTTCGTCGAAATATAAGGGGTCTTCACGTACACCCTCAATGTTTTCATTATATTCGACAAAAGCTACCTTCTTGCTTTTGTTGAACTTGGCCTTTTCGTCTTTGAGACGTTCCAGCTGTCGAACTCTATCGGCTAATTGAGCCATGTCCCTTAGGTATTGGGTGTCTAACTTCTTTCTAATGGAATAGTCGAGGCCCCTTGCGGCCATTTCGGCCAACTTATGTTCAGGCACCTGGGTGAAACATCTAGCCTTGAGAAATCGAAACCTATTGAGGTACTCTTCGATTGGCTCAGAAAACTTACGTTTAACACTAGCAAGTTCCTTTAGACTAATCTTGGTTTGACCCATATAAAATTGTTCATGGAATAAACGTTCCAACTGGGTCCAAGTGAACCAAGTGAAGACATTTTTAGTGAGAGAACTTGGGAAGTATTTTATTCTAAGGCTCTCATCATTGGTTATCTCTCCTGCCTCAATTATATAACGAGCCACATGTTCGACAGTAGATTCTGTCGTATCTCCTGAGAACTTAGTGAATTTGGGCACTTTCGTTCTAGGAGGTAACTCGGCCTGAAGGATGTAATCCACTATTGGAGATGTATAGTTTGGCCTAGTAAACCCAGTGTTTACACCGTTTCGAGCCATGATTCTTTCGACCATGGCCGCTAAGTTTTGATCGACAACTATGTTATTACGTCGAACCTGCTGGACGACAATGTCTGTGTCTTGGTTACGATTCACTATGACTACTCCTGGGTTCCTTTCCCATGGGATTGGTACCTGGTCCCTTAGGGGTTCGACTCTGTTTGGTTCAAGCCTGGGGAGTTCGACTCTCCCTTGATTCTCTAAATTGGGCTCAGTTGGGATCCCTAAATCCTGTCGTGGCAGGTTTTCCACTGGGGCCTGGTTCCTAACCACAGGAGGTACTCCCATAAATTCAGCCAATCGTGTCAACTGCGCTGCTAACTGTTGATTGGTTTGATTGGTGTTTTGGATTAATGGTTGAAAGATTCCACCCATGGTCTGGGACAAAGTTTGAACCATTTGCAAATTGCTCTCATCCATTTGCTGTCTTAAACACGCCACCTAAGTATTGGTTAAATTAGGGTCTTGCGTCGAATATCTCAGGCTTAAACTTTGGGGATTTCGACCAATGTTCAACCCAGACCCTGATCCTTGCAATGGCGAAGCCATTGCATTATCTGAGAATATATAAGGAGCGTTTTGGAGCCCTTGCATTACAGTTGTGGGCATCCCGTACGGGGGGTTTCTCGGTAATTGTGAAAACCCGGGAGGAGCAAACTGTCTAGACGCCGAATTTCCTCCCAATGGTGTTTGGAGATTCGACGCTTGAGGTCCAATATGCTCCAACACTGGTTGATTATGAGCCCTTACGACTGTCGACCCAGGCCCCAATACTGATGGTACTGGTTCCACTCTTGCCGGAGGCACTATTTGCTCTCCGGTCGAAGGTATCGAAGGCGGAACTACATCGTTTCTCGGTCCTTCGTTAGAACCGTCTCCTTGAGAGTTAGGGTTGTTTGGCTGATTTATATGTGTCGCCATATTCCTAACGCTTTGTCTTGTTAGTCTCTCTTCGTTTACAGCGGCAATTTTACCACTTCTCAGTAACATAAAATGAATTTTTTTACGAAAAACCAATAAAAATTGCAATTCTGCAAGTTTTGCTTATACTTGTAAAAAAAACTTTTAGCACTGTCCCACTGGACGTGCCATTTTGTTTCCCTTGAAAAATGGAAAACAACCGCTGATCTTCCAAATCTAACTTTGGTGACTCACAGTATTGATCAGATTGATCCTAAGACATGTGCTAAAGATTCTTTATTTTGGAAATCTATCTAAGTTTCACACTTCGACAGTATTGCGGTAAAAGGTTCTAAGAAGTACCTATTCGACTAAAAGAGAAAGAGAAGATAAAGTTTCAGAAAGGAAGAGATAGAAGTCTTAGAGAAGGATTGAGGACGAAGATAAAGTAAAGTGCATAGAGGAGAGGAAAAGGTTGCAAGAAAAGTAAAGAAAACTTTGTAAAGTTAAGCAAATAAAGTAAACTTCATTGAAAAGTAAAGATGGTGTGTTTACATCACGTACATTCTCCTTGATACTCTTTTCTCTACACTCGGATACTTTGAGTAAATTTAGGAGTGACTTGCACAAATAGTGAATTACAACACACTGATTCTATCTCTAAAAATTCTTATTTATAATAGTAAAAAGTAACTAACAATAACCACCTTAAGTCATCATCTTCCGACACCTGTCACCGCGCATGATGTCCTTTACCCAACGGGTGCCACTTGTCTTTATTAGTCATCAGAAAATAAAATTACTCCCTCCATTATTTGAATTTCAAATACTTAATTGATCTTCAAATAGTATCTCGATCGAAGGCCAATCTCTCCAAAGTTCATACTTTTCTCTAAGTCCCCAGAACATCTTAACTTCCTCTTTCGCAGATCTCAGGCCTTTCGACAAACTCTTTACCTCTAAATTAAAAGACTTTAATATTTTATTTAAATATCTTAATCCATAAGAGGTGTCGAATTTATGAACTAACACTTGTGAAGCTGAGTATATCGCAAGTGCTTTGTCTGTTTGTCAAGCTGTTTGGATTATGAACTTACTGCGGGATATGAAGATCAAAGTGAGCAAGCATGTAAAGTTGATGATTGACAACAAATCAACTATAAGTATCGATAAGAATCCAGTGTTATGAAAGAAACAAGTATATTGACACAAAGTTTCACTTTATACGAAATGAAGTTCACAATTGCTTGAAGTTGTTAACTGTATCACTCAGAAAGAGCTGACAGATATTTTGATTAAAGCAATCAAGACTGAACATTATTTATTTAAAAGATGAAATTGATGTTAAGTTTAGTCTTAAATGTGATTAAGGCATGGTGTTTAAATGCAATTCAAATTCAAGTAGTTAGATACATTTCATTAAAAATTTGAATTCAAGTAATTAGTTGCATTTCATTTACATTTGATTTAAATTACACTTCAGTTTCATCTCATATTCTGTATATAAATTGAATTTAAATTAGAAATAGATACTCATTTTGTAACATATTCAAAAATTATTTACAATTTTTTTCTCTCTTTACACCTACAATTTTAAAAATAAACTATACACACCACCCCCAATAGAACAGGATACTTAAAAAGAAAAATCATCCGATATGGTATCAGACTCCAAATCCGATTATTGGAAATAGTTTCCAGATCGTAGACATTCTATAAAAACAAAAAAACAATCATGGAAAATTTCAAAATCAGTTTTACATTTCCTTTGCTAGAAACAACTCTACCCTTCAAAATTGGCAACTTGAATGCAGCATTCCCTTACATTAATTTATACAATTGTTTTTCACGGAATTGTAATAGTATTCGTACATGATATTTTGTCTCGTGATATCACTCACCACTAGGGAAGAATCCAAGTCACTGCCAAAAGCAATCTGTTTCTCAGATTTGTTGACATCTGGATTTTCCTTGTGACTCACATACCATATCCTATTTCAGTTTCCATCTCGATCCATTTCTCACAGATTCCTTAAAGACAAGAAAACAACATTGTAAATTACATTTTGTCTAACACAAGACATTACTAACAACATGGGTTATAATAATAATATAAAAAAGGACAAATAAAAAGTTTCATTAAAATAAAAACATACCAAGAGATCAATTCTAAGGCGTGTCGAACTTATCAATCCACAATTTCAAAAAAAGTATAGATAGCATTTATAATTTACATAATTGAACACATTGAGTTTGGATCTTACATAAGATAAGAAATTTAAAATATATACACAACAAAAAAAACCTAAGATTAGGATAATATTTCATTGAATTACATAGATACAAGAAAACCTTAAAAATTAAAAATTGAATTACAGGTCGTCTGGATTTCCTGAAAACCTTCCAAAAAAAAATAGCGTAAATATTCTTCACTTAATTTTCCTTCACCTCGTAACCTTGAGAAAAAGACATATTTACAAGAATACAATTTTCCAACATTAAATCTTGTCCAAAAGTGAAACCACAGACGACTCCAAAATGAAATCAACATCAGTCACACAAGCTCCGAAACCCACCCAATATCCGGAGCCCCGTCAACATTATCCGACCCGGATCCATCAAAAGAGTTCTCTTTGCTCAGTTTCTCAAACATCTTCACCCTTATATCCCTACCAGACTCCACTCTCTCCATCACAGGCTCCTCTTCACAGGACTGATCCCAAAGATCAAAATGGTTAACTCCGCAGCGACTCAGCGGCTGTGTCGGAGTAGATGGAAGGCTGCAAAATCCGGGTCGGATCATGGGTCCTCTTGGAGATCCGAACCGAGGAGAACCCATTTGAACATTCCATGAAGAAGGTAAAGATTTCATCTTCCCGAGATGCAAATTACGCAGAGAAGCCACCACCTCATTCACAGAACCCACAGAACCCGGAGGAGACTCCACAGGTGGAGAAACAGAACCGGGAGAAGACATGAACCGAAGCTTTTTAACACAGGAGGACTCAATGGCAAGCCGGAGAGGAGACCCGTCATAAGACTCAACACTCAAGGGACTCTGTAGACTCGTCGGAGTCCTGAGTTGTTCAGTTGTGTGAGCAAAGAAACAAACACGTCGCCGGCAACTAGTTCCGTCCTTGCATGGCTGAGTCCGGTAACGAGACGGATGAAGCCAGCACTCAAAAACACCATGCGCGAACTCACACGAATCACCTTTCTTGCAACTTCCTTTACGAAAATCCGGACACGAAGTCCCGGAGTACTGAAACTTCCGCGGATCGCGACGGCGAGCCTTCTCGCCGGGATGAGCGAAAGGACACTCCGTCCAGTCATGTGACCTACCACGTGCGCATCTCCGAATCTTGAACTCAAACATACGGAAATTATCATTCGTATACGCATCCACCGATTCATGACTCGGAAAAATCTCCGAGTCGGAATCGTCTTCGTCTTCCATGGACGATGGAACATAGTGTTGAAGAGCGTTCAACGCTTCTTCTAAGTAGAACTGAGAATAATCGACCTCCGCCGTTGGATTCATCATCGCTGGCCATGGTGCCGGTGCCACGTGTAGGGTTGGATTTGTACGATGGGGTGGTTCCCCTAACATCATCATCGACATGGTGATGGAAGATGTTTTGTATTTGGATATGGATAAATATTTTTACTTTGCACCATTTCAGTCATGGTTAGTGAATCTCTTTATAAATGGAAAATTTAACCATGGTTTGGTTTTGAGTAACTGTGGTTGGGTTAAAAATGAATGCAGTTAAAGTTAGTGGGGGGTTTGTACGTTACCACGCTCTTATCTTTGGATCTATGGTCACAGACTCATGGGTTACGTTTTTTATGCCACGTAATGAATAGATCTTGACGTGGCAAAACTGTAGGAGAGTTGATTGGTTTGTCACGTATGGAAAATCACCGCTTTTTGAATTTTAATGCCCCCGGTCTTCCCTAAGCGGTGGAGCATATTAGACGCTATAGATCACAATATCTCTTCACTCAAAGAATAATAATAACACTAATGAATTAATAATAATAATATATCGATAGTCATATATTTTTAAATTATTCAGTAAAATAATTTATAAAATAATAACATGACATAGTTTTGATTTAATCCAACCTACTATTTTTATTTTAAAAAATCTTAAAAGGTATGTGGTAAGAAATTACATATAGAGTATAATTTTAACATTGTTAAAATCAAATCCGTCAACATAATATTTTTTATTTTGTAAAACGTGTCTCTAAAATATTTTTACAAAATTAAATTTTTATTATAAAAATAATCACTTTTAAAAATTTAAGGGTTAGTTATAGTTTTTTAAATTTAATTGATGTGATAATCATGAATAATCAGTATCATTGATTCATTTGTCAAATTTAACTTTTATTTTAATTATTTAAAATAAAATGTAATGCAACCGATGATTGTGATATATTAATGATATAAAACTTTTTATATTAATAGTGTATATCAGTAATCTCTATTTTTTTCTTTCTTTTATTCAATTTATAAAATTAATCTCTTTATTTAATTTAAATTATTTATTTTATTTTTACATTTTTACATACTATTTAATGATGTGTAATTTATATTTTTTAACTCTATTCAAATGTTGGTTTCGTAGACTTTTTATTTTATTTTTTACTTTGAAAATCGATAGGTGATTATATGATTATTTGTTAAGGATGAGTATTTTTATTATTTATTTTTAAAATTTTACAAAGATTTGTATATTTTATCAATTTTAATATATTATTTAAAATTAAACACATAATTAACTTTAATTAAAAAATAGTGGAAAAAGATTAAATCTATGCATTATTTAAAAATGGATCCAGAATAAATTTTAAATTTTAAAATAATAGAAATATATCAAAAAATTTGATTTTAAAATATAAAAATTAATTTCGTTAATGAGAATCTAAGACCTTTTTGTTTATCTTAATTCTGAAGGAAATAATAATTTTTAAACTTTTAAAAATTCGAATATATCATGCTTTAAGATAAAATCCTTATGCTTATTTTAACCAATATTCTAAAAGACTAACAATTTTCTTTAAAGAAATACATGTATCACATGATTGATATCGATGAACCAATGAGTTTATGTATCCATTGAGAAACCCACAATATTGGTTTGGAGGGAAGTAAACAGAATAGTTGAATTAGAGACCGGAAACCGGTGGCCAGAGAAAAGAAAAGTCTGAAGTTTCATTTATTTATCGTCCCATAAAGTCATACATGTTTAATGTGGGTAGGCATGATATTGAATTTCATTTTTCTAGTGAAGACATGGAAAGTAATGCATGCTATGATGAGTTTTGAAATGTATCACTATTATGCATTATGAATTGTATAAAACTTCGTTAAGAAGAAAGGAATAAGAAGACTAAATTTACACTTAAGAAAACGCTCATAAGAAGAAAATAATTATTGAGGAAAATCTAAACAAAAATACTAGAAAAACTCATTGTTGACTTGGAGTACATATGAACATTTACATTTTAAGTTCATTAGCTAATTGACATATTTAATTTATATATATATATATATATATATATATATATATATATATATATATATATATATATATATATATATATATATATATATATATATATATATATATATATATATATATATATATATATATATATTAAAATACCAATTATTCAATAAAATTAAATGGTAAAATTTGTTTATAATAAAAAATTGAAATAAAAAAATTGAAAGAGTAGGTTAGATATGGCAAAATATCTTAATTTGGGATTAGGGTGTGGTATTGATCACATATGTATAGTTGATATCACCTAAGTAGAAAGGAATCGGTAGTCTGCCACGCGCCGTAATTTGTTGCCTTCATCAGTGTTGTAGAGGAGGAGGGGGCGTACCTGCAAGGTGCTCCGATCCTTAAGTGAGTAACGGAGTTAGAGAGAGAGAGAGAGAGAGAGAGAGAGAGAGAGAGAGAGAGAGAGAGAGAGAGGAAGTACAGAGAAAAGTTGTAGTGAATAAGATACCTGACCCTCTAGTGAAAGAGGATATTTATAATCTGCCCCCAGCGTAAGGCCAACGGCTACATTGCATTGGGCCGGATTGCCAAGCCCAACACAAGTAACTGCCAAGGCTTAAGTGGTGTAGGGAAGACCACCACGTGGTATTCGCCCTAGATCAGCTGCCCCGTGATCTTCGGAAGGTGGGTTAACCAACTCTTTCGGAAGTGGGTAGTTGTCTGATGACGTGCCCCTGCGTGGGAGACACGTGGAGTCTGTGGGGGAAGCGCGTGGGCTTCCCCGTCAAGAGAGTCCTTTGTCCGACTTGTGTGGCTTGTTGAGGCTTGTGCCCGACAGAGGGGAATTAGACCTTGTTGGCCCTCATCAGCATAACACTGGATTTGGCCTGCCCAGCTGAGGGGCAGGTTCCAGCCCAGTCCAGAATAGGAGCCCCCCAAGTCGTTGCTCCTAGGTGGAGGAGTAATGACTTAAGGGTAGGTCGAGGTGTCAACGACCTTTTCGGAAGATGGTCTTTTGCCCGACGTATAGAATTGAGAGTCGTATACAAGGCCAAGAGTGGAGGACGCTCGACGAGACAACATGTCGGGGGGATGCAAAGCGAGTGGACGTGCTCAATCTCGAGCTCGAGGGGAAGACGAATGAGTGTGAAGCTTCTGGTGGTGCCACGTGTCAGACAATTATTGCCTAGCTAGGGCGGCTAGGGCTAGGGACTTTTGAGTGCCTAGGGGTGCCTCGAGTTCCATGCTAGGCTTATAAATAGGATTGAGTCAGCTTTAGTCTCACTTTTTGTCTTCTTCTGTTGAAAATGCTTCCTCTTCTTCTCGTTGCGCTTATCTATCTTCTGCACCGAGACGTTCATCGTCTTCCGCCGTACTAAGTAAGTCACCCCTGCTTTACTCTCATTTTCCTATTTTTTGACAGTTTCTCTGGTGGACTTGATGAATGTCCCGGGGAGACTGTGAATTTTCTGGCGAATACGCTAGAACTTCTTTGAATTAGCATAGCTCTGGATGAACCTCTCGAGGATAGGCGATGAAGCCCCTGGTGACGTAGTATAGTTATGGATGCACCTTCTGAAGATAAGCAATGAAGACCTCGGGGATATAGGATAGTTTTGGATGAAACTCCCGGGGATAAGCAATGAAGTCCCCAGGGACGTAGGATGAATGCCTCAGGGACCTGATGAAAGTCCTGGGGTCCCGGTTCTCGCCTGTCGAGGCGGAAGATGCCCTGCCCTTAGGGGTGCTCCCTTATTCGCCCTTTCACTTGATCTACGGTGGAAGGGTGGATTTGATTTGGGTCGGTCAAGCGGAAGTTTGAGGAACTCATCGACAAGAGCTCAACGATGAGGCATGCTCTTCTGCCGACCTATCCAAATTGTAGAACGACCTTGCGACCGTCGAGGTAGATAGGAACAAACTAGCAGCTAATCTCGACCAGGCCAAAGAAAAGAGTGATACCCAGCTTAAGCTCCACGGCAAGGTGGAAAAGTATTTGAAGGCCGCTAGTGAAAAGAGGATGAGGCTCTTGGCGTGGATTGTAGAGTTTGAGGCAGCTTCTCAGCCTGTGAAGGATGAGACTGCTGAGGAGAAGCTCATGGGATCTCGGGCGGCTTTGATGTCGAGGATCCGGAAGCTCGAGCGAGACTACGTGGGGGCTCTCGAGGTGGGCTACGACGGTGTCGTGGAGCGGCTTTGGATCGTGAATCTGGATGTTCAGTTCATTACCGAAGGGAAGGGCCCTTTCATCAGGTTGTCGAGGGTCGCGTGGTCGCGCTAGGAACCGAGGAGGAAGATGATGGCCAAGCCGAGGTGGGCGATGAGCAGGAGGAGAATGAAGCCTTTTAGTGTTGTAGTGTTTCTGTCTTTCTGGCATGGTGCCTACTTTTGATGTATTTGTTTCTGGCCTTCGTGCTATTCTTGTAATTCTTGAACAATGGACTTTACCCGCTATTTTTGGGAATGTAGTGACTTTACTTTTATGCTGGGTGTGCTTTATTTTCTATGTTTCCTTGTTTTCTATGTACGAATTGCATTTCTATTTGTTTTCTTGCTCGACCTATTTTATGGCCGACCGTGTAGGGAACTAGTCGGGTGATCGGAATTGGTATCTAATCGATGACGGGCTAAGATCTCGATCGAGGTCTTTACCCCGGCGTGAACTTCCCGTCGCGAGCTAGGTGTTCTTCCTTAATGGTACGATAATGGTGGAGCTCGGTTGAGGGGTCCCCGCTGGATCAAGGGTCTTGCCTGCATACGCAAAGGGCGGACTTTTGTCTTTTGTTTTAAAATTAGGAGTCGTGTCTGTACCGTGTCACGCCCCTGTGGTCGCGACGCAGATGAGTCACTGGTAGTGTTTAAATGTAGTATTGCTTGAGCTTTTATGTGTTCCATGGTCGAGCAAGTTCTTCCCCATGTAGGTTTTCAAGGTAATAGGCCTTGTTGTCCGTTTTATCTCGGACACAGTAGGGGCCTTCCCAGTTTGCGGCGAGCTTGCCCTCGCGCGAATCCTTATGGTTCCTTCGTAGGACCAGTCTGTCCACCTGGAACTCGCGCTTTATGACTTTGTTGTCATGCCACAAGGTTATCCTTTGTTTCA